GCCCTAAAACCTCGAACCTGTTGTTGCTTGTTTGTTGTTGTAGGTTCGTTGTTGAAAGATTTATTCGTTTTTTGTTGCTCTTGGAAATGCAAATAGTACTCTGGTATCACAGCGCACACTTCTCAGGGTCGCGCTGTCTCCTGGCATGGCCTCTCCAGACCTGTCGCCATCTTAAAAGCCCTTTTATTCATTTTTATCTCACTGCCAAGGCACTTATTTCCTTGAAAACTTATATTCTCATGTTTATTTAAATCAAAAACATTGATTAAAAGTAATGATATGGAGAGTCAGTCTCCTTGATATTTGAAATTGAGGCTTGCTTGTTTTAAATTAGCAGCAAAGGTGAAGGTGTTCCTTTAGGTGTCTGTGCTTGAGTTAAGGAAGCTCCTTGGTGAAATGAGTTTTTTCAGATTCTAATGGCTTTTGAATGAAATTAATATCAAATAATTTCAGATTTGGCATTGTCTGATGAGATCATCTAGCACAGTTCTCTCATGTTATATTTGAGCAAACCTAGGGGCACAGAACTCCAGTAACTTGACCAAGGAAATACAATTAGAATAATAAATTGCAGTATAACCAGAAAATCAAAAAAAGTCTCAGTCTAAGTGAATTAGTTACAAGAACAGATAGGACTGTTGTGCCCTCTCTGGGAGACTTGAAAGTTGATGATTTTTAAAAAATACCTGTTAAACACTTGCATGGCCCCACTTCCATTTCAGGCATATGTAGATTGCTTATCACTGTACTAAATAAATTAAATAGGGCAGGTCACACTCATCCAGAATTTTCTGTGAATTGAAGAGCTTAAATAAATTGAAATGAATGCAATGAGATAGAAGGGAATGCATACAGAGACAAAATCTGGTAACAGAACTAATACAAAAATAAAGGAAGTAGCTCCTCTCAAGTCTTGCTTTTTAAGTGTCTTTTTTCTCTTCTCTCTTCACACTTCTCGCCATAAGGGAAGCTATGTTCTAACTCCCCTGCTTTCATGATCGTTGGTTGAGTTAGTCTTTCTCTCAGCAGGCTCAGTTCTTAGGGAAATGGGAGAAAAGCTAGTTATTGAGTCCTTCAGTTGTGTTCTTTTGCTCCTTTTGAGAGGCACATTCCTGGAGGGGTCCACGTAGCCATCATCCCTTTTTATTCTCCCCTTTTAAAACATTTCTACTGGAAAGCTTGCAATATATGTTTAAAATGAACATCCTTGGTTGGTGTCACAAATACACATTGCATCATGAGAATATGGGTTTGACAACCACTATAATTGAAGTCTCCTCTACATGGGTGTGGACTTGTTTTTTTGTTCTGTTTTGTTTAAGACTTTATTTTTCAGAGGAGTTTTAAGTTCCCAGGACTTGTCTTTTTTTATTAGTTAAAAAAATAAAAGGAGCTAGCATGTACTGAATACTGAAGTTCTGGGCAGTGGTATGCTTCACGTGCATTCTCTCATTTTATACCTCTATAAAGCAGGTACTGTTATTAATCTCATAACATGCCACAGCTTTGGCACAGAAACAAATGTGAACCTGAGACTTTTTGCCTCTAGAGTCTATAGTGTTACAGTCATGCTGCGCAACTTGTCCCCCAAAGTACAGAGCACAGTGCTTTCCACGTGGTAGAATTCTCACTAAGGTTGAATTGAATAGCTCTTCATATTCACTGCTAACTGTGACCCTCAGAAATAAAATTAAGTAATCATTTCCACATTAGAAGAAAAATACAATCGTAAGACATTAATTTGCTAATTATTTTTCACCATGAAGGATATAATCTTATAACCAATCTTATATACCTTATATGCGACACAGACATTTCCAATTTTCATATATTAGGCTTAACCTCTGTGATATTCAGATAACATTAAAATGGGACAATGCAATAATATCACTAATATTTCTATATAATATGGCAGACAGTGAAATACGATGAATTACTTTTATTTGGAAAAACATGTTAGTCTACTTTGACTCAAGGATGTTAGGATTTTTAGTGTTAGCATTAGTTTGTTTTCTTTTAATAAACAATTATTAAATTTATTTTACTAGGCAAAATGGAAAAACATCCCAATTGCCAAATGCTGATGATGTGCTCTCAGGATCTTAATGTATAATCTTATTAGTTTTCTGTTTTTCAGCTGGCAAAAGATTATAACGTCAGTATTTGTTCATCCTAGGGGAATTTTACTTGTGTATTTTAAAGATACATTTACCATTTTCCTCAGGTGATTTGTGCCAATATGTGTCCTATATTATCATAGCAACAAAAGTTTTTCACTTTGCAGTCTAAAGAAGTTCAGACAGATTTAGTTTGTTCTTCCAAAAACATTGATAGAATACCTGCTGCATGTTTTTACACAAAATATTTTTTGTTCTCCCTCTTTGAAAGAATATGTTTACCTAGAGAAAGTCTATGAATCAATGAGATTTGTGTTATGCTTTTTAAAAATATCAACTTGAATTTGTTGCTAAGCATCCTCAAGAGGTAGTTGTGTGATTTTTTTAATATTTAAGCAAATGACATTAGCTCTTTCTGATACTAACTGTAGTGTTTCTAAGAAAACATAAACCTGAGCTTCATTCCCCCTTTTGTTGTACTGTGTCATGATCTCTATTCACATGAAATCTTAAATTAAAATGTTAGCAGGACACGGATATTCCCTTAGATTTTTCTTTGGTTGGCTAGATCACCTATAGAAAAATGCAGTGAAGAGAAGCAACTTTGATAGTTATTTTTGCTCTGATACATTCAGAAAATTGATAATAATAATAATAAACTAACATTTGAATGTCATGCTTTACAGTGGCTTTTAAACACGTCTTCATTTAACCTGGCTTCATGTCTCTCTTGTTGGTAGATATTAACCCCATTTTAAACAGAAGGACAAAGAAATTTGGAAGAGTGAGTGGCAAGCCCAAGTTTACCTCATAGTAGAGTCACAAATTAAACTTGCGAGTTCTGATCACAACCTTGTTACAGCCACAGTGAACTTCCCATGATTAGGTGTCATGGAATGAGAAAAATAAAATATAAAATGGAGTAAGCACTACTAAAGTAATTTTAATTACAAAATATTTAAACTATTTAAACCTTTTTCTTTCATTGTGTGTGTGTTTTAGATTATCAAACGTTCCTATTGAAGGAGGTGTTTTTGTTTTTGTTTTTTGGGCTTTTTTCACTATTTTCTTTTTGTTGATGTTGTTGTTTTGCTTTGTTTTGTTTTTAATATGACAAGGAGAGATAACCTAAAGGAATCCTTCAAACTGGTCACCTTGAAAATAATAGAGACAAACTGAGACTGTTGTTTCAACATACAAATTATTTACTTTATTCACAGCTGCACACATTTTTTGAGACATTCCTGAGGGCCAGCTCACCTCTTCAGGCTTTTGATCATATGAAGGAAGCAATTAGCAAACTCCTGCTAGCTGCTGAAGTATTCAGTGACACATCTATTCTGGGACCAAAGACCTTTGATAGGTAATAACAAATTTTAATTTAAAAAAAAAAAAAACTACCTGCTAAAAACTGTTAGTGAAAATATATCTTAATTATAACAAGTAGATGGTACTTGGAAAATTTTATGTCAGTATGCAAATATAATCTAAACATATGTGATCTAATTTATAGATCCGAAGACTTTGAGAATGTAACAGACTTATTATTGAGTGGTTACGAGAAATACAAGTTTTTAAAATTAAATTTTAAAGTGCATTCCCCTTTCAAGCTCATTTCTATTATACATACTTAGCATTGACTAGATGTAACTTTACTTACACATAATACATTTTGTTCTCGAATCTCACTGGTTTCATAATATAGAAAAGGAAACAAAGACCTCTATTAAGAAAATTCAGTAACTCCTATAGACATATCTCAGTTTACTTGAATATACTTATTGCCTTCGTTCTAAGGAAGTGTTAAATCTAGTATGTCAAAAGAAGGGGGGAGAGCACCTCCATATAAACTTTATCATACGTTTTATGTGAATAAGTGCCTATCACGTAGGATTAGGAGAGTTTTCTTCTCCATATTTAGGTTTGCATGGAATAACTTCATCGTTTGCTTAATATATTATGAATACTTAGATATGTTTGTATTTTCCGTAAGGAACAAAACAGACTTTAAATTCAAGAATTAGTTACATGTAATTTTAGATTATCCAAGCCACTGCTCTTTTTAATTAGTACAGACATTGAAATTTAACTATAGCAATTATTAATAATATGATAACAAATAACAGAGTCAATGTAGCAAAGAATATATTTTTGTGTTACCTTGTGTTTTTATTACAGATGCAGATCATGTTTTCAGCTTTTAAGTTTTGAAATAGGATACAGCAGTTTCAGGCACCCTGTAGTGCTCCAGGTGAGCATATCAAAGGCCTTATGAGTGGTGTGAGCTTCCACCTTTTGGTGAAGGATGTGTGTGTGTGTTGTTTACACTCATAGTAACAAATCAATAAATAGCAAGTTACATCATAGTCACCATGGGCTTCCAGTCATTGTGGATATGGGAATAACCAATATGTGGAGAATCTACGAGTTCCAATCCCCACCATATGTCCCTGTAGAACAAACATGAATTTTTCTGTGGTTCAACCACTGTTTATGAAATACATGTGATATAAAGCTAAGTTTGTGTTAATGGAGAAAAGCAGACATGCAGATAATAGAAAATAGCAGATTACCCAGTGTATTCACATGGTGTTATAAAAAAGTGACTCTTGTATTCTTTACATATAGACACATAGTTTGAAATTGTTGTATATTTTAATTTTAAAAGCAATGGGAATTTTTAAAATGTGTTTTAAAAATGTGTTTGCTAGTATTAATTTGTATAAATTGAAGTGGTTTTTGTATACTCTGATTCTTTCCCTTTTTCTCAAATTAAAAACTTATTCAGATTATCTCCTCCAACAAGTTTTTCTTCTAAAATAGCCCTTAGTGGCAAGAAGATTAAAAAAAAACAATTGATTGAATTAGTCTATACATGTTGAGTATCCCTTATTTGAAATACTTGGGACCAGAAGTGTTTCTGGTTTTGGATTTTTTTTTTTTTTGAATATTTTCATATAATAAATAGTGGGACTTGGGAATGGGACTCAAGTCTAAACACAAAATTTATTTATGTTTCATATACACCTTATACGCATAGCCTGAAGGTAATAATTTAATATAATATTTTAAATAATTTTATGCATGAAACGTTTCTGTACATTGAACCAGCAGAAAGCAAAGATGTCACTATCTCAGCCACCCATGTGGACAATCTGTGGTGGTTTGGCATTGCCGTCATTCCTGACTCAGGATTTGCATGCTATTGATAAGCAGTCATTTTCTTACACTTATTTAGACATAGGTACTTAACAGTACCTAATATGACATACCATCAATACAGTGAAAAGACGTGCTCAGGATAACTTCGCAGCCCAATGTTCAACAATATTTTTACATCACCGAGTAAAGAATAAGCAGAAAACCCAGTGCGTAAGGCACATAGGTCTTGGCCCGACGTGGGGCATCATGGGGAACCTCCCATGGCACATCTGCCTGCACACATGCCATTTTTCACACTTGTGGGTGTACTTGTGTGGGGGAATCTGGGCCTGTGCAGAAAAGATACATGGCAGCTGAAGGGGGCTGGGATGGCCTTTTTACCCTTGAGGAAGCTGAATAAACTGTGCATTGTGTGCATGTGTTTTGACTGTGACCTGTCACATAATGCCAGGTGTGAAATTTTCCACTAGTGGTGTCACGTTGACCATGTTGGAGCATTTTGGATTTCAGATTTTCAGATTAGGAATGTACAACCTGTAAAATGCTGTAGCCTGGGATTATACAGGGAAACCAATTACATTATATGTGGCTCAGACATTTGGTTGAATAGCTCCAAAATTTATCCGTAAAATTTAGAAACTTTATGAATTAACATCTTTTAATGGTAATTTATTCATTGTTTTGCAAACATATCTAATAGTTACGTGTTATATTTTTAAAAATGTATTGTTCAGAAAAAATGCTATGTATTATCTTCCATGAACAGAAATTCTTCAGCTATAAAGGGCTTCAAGATAAACTAATGTGACTTTATAATACATCAATTAATTTTCTTATACATTGAAAGTTGTATCTTCAAAAGAACATTACTTACATTTATAAAAGTGTTGACCTCGAAAAAGACCACTAGATGTCAGTTCTGATCTACAATCCAACAGGAAATAAATCATACCTTAGAAGTGCTGTGATTCTGTTGTATTAAAAGTAACTCAGTGAAAAATACTTGCTGTGATTCTACTTTCAAAGGTGCATGAGCATTTAAATTTTCAAGATGACGATAATATGGATTCTGAGGACCAAAATACAGAAGAATTCCTTTTAAAAGACACTTTCGATTTTCTCTTCTCTAATGAATCTTCACTTTCCGTATTTACTGAGATATTTCAGAGACTTTATAGATCAGATGTATTAAAGGTAAGTGCATATTTCTGTGCTGACCAATATTCTTTCAAGTCATTCTTAGAAAGTACCATTTTCTTTATTGTGCAATTAAGCAACTTGATAATTCATTTGAAATTAATTGGTATCGGGCCGGCCCGGTGGCGCACTGGAGAGTGCACCACGGCGTTCCCGCCGAGGGTTCGTTCCCGCTCACTGGCTGAGCGTGGTGCGGACGCAACACCGAGGGTTGCGATCCCCTTACCGGTCAGTAAAAAAGACAAAAAAAAAAAGAAATTAATTAGTATCTGTTATACCTTTAAAATTTTTCTGACCTGAGGACCACTATTATTCTTAAGATAGCTAAGTATTTGAATGACTGATTATGATGAAATTATGGGTTGAAAATGAAGTAAGACAGTTTATAATTCCTAAAAAAGTTTGTGGATATTATGAATATACATATTATATATTATAAAATGTTTTAAAAGGAATGTTTGAACTTTTGGAGGTAGTCTAGAACAGCAGTGAGTGCTCCAGATACACATCAGGGGATTTGAGTTATAACACTAATTTTTTTTAAGCAATCACATCTACTAATATGTTTGGGTAGATGCTGATGAATAAGACATGGTGCTTTAGAGTAGCATGGGTTAATTTTTATGGCATGCAACAACACTAGCAAAGCATCATTGAGCTATTTCATCCAGATCCTCCTTGTCAAATATAAAGTTTTCTTATATTCTGACGCCGTTGTGATAAGTTGAAACTGCTATGTATTATTTATCATTCATTAGTTCAGCTGTTTATTTATAGAGTTCGAAATTTGGTTGGTTTATGAAGTGAGAGGCAATTGTGCTAAACATGGTTTGGTTTTTTAGCAATTGCTTACCATTTTTTCTCTTTAATATAGGGTGAAAACTATCAAAAGGAGCTAAATCAATGTCTGTCTTTAGAGGAAATTAACTCAATTATGACTTTCATTAAGGAACTTGGGAGTCTGGGACAATTCCAACTGGTAAAACAAAAGTGACATTTGATTCCTCTCACATACTGCCTGCTTTTGACTTCAAACTAGATGGCAATATTTCTTTAAAAACTAAAAAAACTTTGTAAGCTTCTTTCTTTTTTTTTTAGGAAATCTGAACAGTAAGATGAGCAAGCTCTATATGCTTTACTTGAAGAGTCTGCAGATAATACGTGATTTATTAAAGATAAAAGAATGTGGGTTTAGTATAGCTGCCAGGATTTGACAGTTTTAAATATCAACATTTTTCTAAAGAAATTTTGCTTTTACCTTTTAAACATTTACATGCATCCCAAATTCATGCTTATTTACTCTTTTTTGTTTGTATAAAATCAAATATAGTTGAATGTAACAAGAATATTTTAGAAAGCTACCTAAAGTCATAATTTGTTGTAACTCTGCTGATAACTTTTAAAAATGCCAATAATTATAATAATTTTTAGTGGTTGTATCCTAAAAATATTTATTTTTCTCCTCTATTTTCTTGGGCTCTGTTAATTTATTGGTCAATATCAAAGGATAATTTATGCATATAAATTATGTATGCTTAGCACTTGCTTTGTTTCCAGTTCTACCATTTATAGACATATAGACAGACCATAATGAATTTGTATTTTTACACCTAAGATTTGTTTATATAAAACATCATTTTAAAGTAGAATTTTTAAAAGTTTATTAATAATTTATTATTAATCTGATGTTTGGCTCAGGCAGTTTTTTTTTACTTTAAAAAATTTATGTATGCATGTGATACTTGTATGAATTTAACCAACTAAGTTAACTGATGAACATTGTACACTTGTTTTTATAATTTAACCCCATATGTTGGAGGGTTCAAAGTAAGCTTATTTTCCCAAAGATTATTTATTTGGTGCATTATCATTTTAACTAATTTAAATATAGTAAGTATTACATTCATGACAGTTGGCTCAATACTATAGAAATATAACAAAGAGACCTGGTCTCACCCTTCAGGAATTCATAATTTAAGATACTTTGAAATGTGGGGAACATTTCTCAGTACAATTTGAGGAAGAACTAAAAATTTATTTTACAGGAGAAAGGAAAAACCTCAACTTCCTGACTCTCACAGTAGAAAGAGCATAAAACCACAGATTTTTTTTTTTTTTGGTGAGATTAATATTTCTCACCCTGACATAATTCACTTGCAACCCAAGAAGAATTCTCATTCCTGACTTAATTATTTAGCTGGAAGTTATCTTTAGCTGGAAGAAGAAATCCATTTCTATTCAGTAAAAATAAAACTTAACCCATTTGGAAATATGATCATCAATAAAATTAGTTTCATATAAAAATGGCATATACCTTAACTGTGCAGAAAATTAAAGTACTGGACCAATGAGTATTTAATAGATATCTAATTTTTAAAAGATCTGATTAAAAAGCCTCTTCTGTTAACAATACATTTTAATTTATTTTCCATAAGTTATGCTGATATGCTGTGTCTGACTATTTCTTCTCAGCTCTTCCCGTCTACTACTCCTGGGATTCAATCTTTGATGCGTGAATTTTATGATATGGAAAATCCTATGAGAAATCCTGGCTCAGTACTGACCCAATACCAGTCTCTTTTAAATGTATTTGAACAATTTCAGCTTATGAATAAAAAGGCACAGCTACATCCGCTGGAACGGTAAGATAGCCACAAATTTGAATTGTGCAATCCCAAAATCTCTAGTCTAAAGATTGATTTCAAAAGGCTTTGCCTACATTAAAGAAAGCAACAAAAAGAAGTGTGTCCAAAAATTCATTCTCTGGAAAATAAATGTCTTGAAAACATTGAAACCATAATGATTCTAGTGGTCTTCAGACACTATAACAAAAATATATCCAACAGTGTTTCAAACCAATAAGACTTGACTCCACTATAAAGTAATGCTTAAAATTAAAAGTTTCTATCTAGTTTCCTCCTATGATATGTATCCTTGAATTGAGGGAGCATAAGACAGAAAGGATTAGGTGAGATTTGTTTTATGACCCAAGTGGAGCCTGATACAGTAAGAGTATTTACATAGAGGTTTTTGAGGTGTAACTTTATTCTGGGAACAACCTATCCAAATTTCTACGCACATGTTCTGTCTTTGTTTCATGCAACTTTTTTTTTTTTTAAGAAGGTAGAACCTTAGAGGGACATGTTTGGCTAGGGTAATAGTCTCCCATCTCCACGTCCATTCTAACGAGAGGTGGTAATAAAGGAACGAGATGGAGCTGGGAGAGGTGAAACGTAAATGGCTCCAGTTATTGGTGAAAAGGGGAAGCACCTAAGGTTTCATCTGCTTCTTTTTTATCTGGATGAAATTTAGAGAGTTATTTGACTTTTCTACTGCCAGGAAAAGAGGAGTAAACCTAAACCTCCTAGGGAGATAAAAGACTAAATGGCCATGCCATAATCGTTTATGTCTCTTGCAGTCACCCTGGGGAATGGCTTCAGTTCTATTGACTTAACTTCATTTCCTTCTGCTGTAGGAGCTAGTGAAAACAGTTCTATGAGAAACTTTCTTTTATAATTCAGAAATACAAGTAATCATATATTTGAAGAATTCTTAGGACATCTTCTAGGATCAGAACTCCCTTTAGTTGCCACAATTTTATGAAGTTGGCCTTGTTTCCTCAATACCTGGAAGTAGTAGGCCTGGCAAAAGATTTTGTTTGTTCGAAAATTAGGTTTTAAATAATACAGGTCAAAGCCACTTTGTACTTTGAACTATAACTTTTGCAATCCCTCAGATAATCTAGGACTGTTCATTCACATTGAAGATGGGTATATAACAGACTTGATTTTTCCAAGAAGCCTATTTAAGTATGGTTTTTAACTTTGAGTAATTCCCTTGCGATATGCAAGCTTTGGAAAGTTTGTTCTCTGGCAAGTTTTTCTCAAGCTCCACATGAGTTGTGGTGTTAAGCAATTAATCGATCTTAAGTTCAGAATATTGGATTCTCTTCCAATAAGGAAATCTACTAAAGGTCAGTGTTGAGTATAGAAAGAGTCAGGTCTTTTTTGAATCACACAGACGCAGGTTAAAACACCCCAACTTTAGAGTTTATTAATTACAGCAGGCAAGATTTTGACCCCTCTGAGATGCAATTTCCTTATCTGTAAAATATGGGTAATAGTATCTACCACATATTATTTCAGCAGGATTATGTAAAATAACTTCCATGTCCTACATGGTATTTGTTATGCTGTAGCACAGGTAGGTAGTAAGTATCAGTATACTTTCTTTTCCATCTTTCTATACCACCCAAAGGTCACTTCAGGTTCTATAGTGGGAGTAATGTTCTTTCTTTTATAGGGAAAGCAAAACAAGTTTGAAAGATTTACCTAAGTTAACATAGAGACAAGTATACTTTAGATGCTTACCAAAAAGCAGTTGGTGTATTGCTCCTAGAGCATTTCAAAAAAAAATTACCAATTCTAATATCTTTAAGTTTACCAATGAGTGTATATATATTTAATTATCACTCATGCCATATTGCAAGGAGGATGCATATTATTCACATTTTTTAGATGAGGAAACTGAGGTGGTAAGAAAATGGGTCTTTTGCTCAAGTTGCACCACTGATAGAGTTGGGACTAGGACCATGGCCTTCTCTTCCAGTGCTTTTTTCTAGTACATCATGTGCACAGAAAGGTTATCGCTGCCCTGATCCTCACAATGGTCTTCTCCAGTTTTTCCTACTGAAAAAGTCAATTTTACGTACCTATACTACCTGTGGGGTTTAATGACTTCATCCTTTCTTTTAAGTAGAGATCATTTGCTTGTAGCAACAAGGTGAGAAAAGAGAAAGTCAGAAAAGCAAAAGTAGTAGGTAACAGTTGTGTGTGTGCCCTGAGGCTTGAAATCCAGAGATCTTAACAGAATGTGTAAATCCGAACAGAATGAAAATCTTAAAATCAGTGTTTGTGCACTATCTGCTAATTTTCACTTGACTGGAAATAAAGTTGCATGCATACTTTGCTCTAAGGAAATGCTTTCCATGAAAATCCACATGGACTCAAAACAAATAATTTATTCATAAAATTGCGAAATAAATCACTGCAGGATGCCTTAACAAAGTGTCTCAGACGTTTCCAAAATTCGGTTTATATGCATTTCAGGATTGTGTCTTTTGCATGATTCACCTGCAGTTATTGTTTCACATGAATTCAGAAATGTTTTGTTTGTTTAATTTGACCTGGCACCCAGTTGAACTTCAACTAAACATATCTCACACCAAGCTTGCTTTATTTGTTTCTTTGTGTTTTAGAAAGAGAGAAATATTCTAAAGAAGTCCTATACATCATTACCGTTCACCCCTAATTACTTCATCATACATATAAAAAAATAGAGAATTTTAAAATAAAACTGCATAAAATGTTTACACCTTTCAACATTCACATTATTTTTAATTTTTTGATTCTTCTTAATTGCCTATCGGATGTTTATATTTTGAAGGAATTGAATATGCTTTATTCATCTCCTCTGCTACAGTATACAGAATAGGACAATATCTGGAGTAATAGGTAATTTATAAAATGTTATCTAACACAGAGCATTTTATTTAATTCTCATTGAATCCCTGGGAAGGCAGGTATTGTTATCTCCATTTTGCTGGGGTGGAAATGGAAACTCACAGCAGCACAGGAACATCATGTCAGGGCTTGCGAACCATCGTGCCTGGTGTTCTCTATCATGAGAACCAGCAATCTTTCCATACGTGATTTAGATTATTTTGGTCTCAAACTTGAGGATTTAAAAGGCAAGATGGTCAAATTTTCAGTAAGTTACTAAGCAGAAAAAATGAGGTGAACACTACCAAGATACAACTAACCTTTACCATTCACTACCATGAATCACAGTTTAAGGAGAGAAGCCTTGGCAAGACATAGGTCATTTTCTGATGGTGCACTTATATTTCTTTGATTATATGTATGTTCGTCTCAGGCTGTGCCTCAGAGTTTCCAAGACTTCTTGCTTCAAAACTGTGTAACTTTGTCCAAACAGATTCCAATAAGGATGTGTGTTTTTGAGTCACTTCTGTTGGACCCGGGCTATCAGAGATTGCTCTGTTTTGGATTGAAGAATGACTTTTTGCCCTGGTTTTCTTCAAATGTGCTTCTACTGATTAGAGATGATGAGATTTCCACCCACCTCGTTTGAGGCTAGATTGCTAGCTTTGAGTAATGAAATTCAGAAAGTGTTTTCTTTGTGTTCGTCAAGATAACTCTGTCCATACAGAAGAGAAGATAGTGTGTTAGATGTACTTTCCATGTATTTTGTTCATTTCATTGATCCAGAGTTGTTTGGCATTGCATTTGCAGGAATTCTTTCACAGAGGATAAGAACACTGAAAAACCACAAGTTCCATTTGATACAATTGAAAAGAAAAAAGGTAAAAGGATATATTTCTACTTACTTCAACATAAAAATAAGTATTGCTTGGCCAAAAACCATATAGAAATGTTTATCTTTGTTAGCAATCAAAAATGAAAATTAAACAAGAGAATGCTATTTTCCCTAAAATTTGGAAAGTTTTTTTTCTTAAAGATAATAGAGTTGAGGAGAGGGCAGGGAAGTATTCTCATTGTGCTGGTGGATGTATAAATTAGAACAATCTTTATTAAGGGGCCATTTAATAACTTATTTTAAAAAAGCTTTAAAAGTTGTTCTTAGGGCCGGCCCGGTGGCGCACTGGATAGTGTGCCGCTTGGGAAGCGTGGCGGCGCTCCCGCCCGAGGGTTCGGATCCCACATGCAGACCGGTTCCTGCTCACTGGCTGAGCGAGGCGCGGGAGCAACACCGAGGGTTGCAATCCCGTTGCCGGTCCCCGGTCCGGTACGGGGGCAACACTGAGGGTTGCGATCCGTTGCCGGACACAGAAAAAGACAAAAGACAAAAAAAAAAAAAAAGTTGTTCTTAAAGACCGGAAATTTCACTTCTAAATATTCATTTTTAGAGAATAAGTAAGATTGTATACAAAAATTTAATTATGTAAATTATTAATGAATGAGAAAATTAGAGACTACTACTATTGCCAAAGAGTGGACTGGGCACATAATCTATAGTCACTCAATGAAATGATATAAAGCCATTCTTATATCATGAAATAATTTTTATAAGATGAAAGATGTTTATGATATATTGTTAAACATAACATTTGACTGCTACCAGTGTGAACTTCAAGGAAAACTAATGGTAATTTTGATTTTCTCTTATTGGCCTATTTCCTCATTTTTTTTTTTTTTTTTTCCATCTAAAGAACATCTGAGCTTTGGGTCATACGAAAAGAAAATATTTCTAATTTTAAGAAAAAAAAAGTGAAAAGAAGTACCTACCCAAGTATCCATAATTTTAAAAAACATGAGTTTTCCGATTACAAATCAGGACTGAATCCAATACAGTGGTTCTCAGGGTGTGCCAGTCTCCCCCCCGCTCAGGCTAGCAGCAGCAGAACCACCTGGGAAACTGGGAAAATGCAGATCTACTGAATCAGAATCTCTGTGGATGAGGCCCAGCAATTTGTATTTTAACAAGCCCTCCACGTGATCCTGATGCACGCTAGGGTTTGAGAACCAGTGATTCAATAGAACTAATCGGTAGGCCCAGTGAAGAACTGACAAGAAATTGATGTACTGACTGCCTTTCTGTCTTTCACCATTCTTTCTCTTTAAATGAACAATTTAAGCACTCTGCGTGTTTTTATTCTATTATTTGTTTCATAAATATTTATTAAGGTATTTTTTATATAGTTGTTTGGTTGAATTCAGAAACTTTGAATATCAATGGAACCAATTGGATGGAATTTTTGTAATTCTGCTGATTTGGAAAATTACAGTCATAGGATTAGAGAACTAGAAAGAACCTCAATAGATCACCATCAGGCAATAGATGGCATGTACACCGTTATTTTCTCCCTTAATATTTTTCTAATTAAAATAATCGTTCTTCTGAGCTTTGGATCAAGTAACTTGTTTTATTGTGTTTGTCAGTTTTACTTAGAAGTGCCCACTGGTGTAATAAAAGTTAAATACTAAAGTATGTGCTTTATTATTCTATGAGATAACTAAATATGTATTTTAAAATTTTTATTCATAGTTTTGATTTTAAATTTACATTTCTTATTTTTTTAGCTACAGTTCCACAAATTATGAATGAAAATAAAGAAATACATTGCAGTGATGGTGAGTTGAGATTAAAGTGTTGTGGCAGTTCAATCAACAGATAGCCCTGCTTTGAAAAAAATCATTTTCTCATATTTGGATATTTTAAAGTTGCTAATTTATTTTAAGTAAATTTTCAGAAGTTATTAGATTTCTGGTTGAGTCAATATGTGTCACTTTTGCCTAAGAAGAACATTTTTAATTTTCTATTTTTGAACATGAAATGTTATGTTTGTTTAATGACAATGACTTTCAGACTCATTTTGAGGGGCTCAAGTGGAAGAGCTTGGCTTATTGGTTTTGTATATTGATCTTGCAGAGATTTCTTTCCTACCGGATGGTCGCTATAATGCATAACGTTTGAGTAGAATTTTCTTGATGACAGTTGAGCATTTTCAAGGCAGTTATTAATCTATTTTCTTAAAATTCATGATTTTTTTTTTACCAAGGCATTATAAAGAAAAATATATACATTTTCAATTCATATAAGGGTACTTCAAAATTTTGTAGAAAAATAGAATTGAAAGAAAATACAAGCCTTTCCATGAACTTTTTAAAGAGCCCCTGTATAAACTTTAAATTTAAAAATAATTTTCTCGGGCCAGCCCGGTGGCGCACTGGATAGTGCGCTGCTTGGGAAGCGCGGCAGCGCTCCCGCCCGAGGGTTCGGATCCCACATACAGACCAGTTCCCGCTCACTGGCTGAGCGAGGCGCGGGGGCAGCGCCGAGGGTTGCGATCCCGTTGCCGGTCCCCGGTCCGGTACGGGGGCAACACTGAGGGTTGCGATCCGTTGCCGGACACTGAAAAAGACAAAAAAGACAAAAAAAAAAAAATTTTCTTTACTCTGGTCATTATTATTACAGTGGTTTTGCAAATATATCATTTTAGAGAGTCTAACTGACTTTTCCAAGGTTGCGGGAGCTATTAAATGTCTGAGCTGGATCTTAAAGCTGGATCTTCAGATTATTTGTTTAAAGATTCTGAATTTTCTTAATATTCTATAAATATGATACAAAATAAGAGTTCTACAAAGTAGGTTTGTTTTTTGACAATGTGTACCTTGTAAAATATATATCATTTATCTATCTATTATCTGTAGTTGGTAATAAAACATGCACTTAGGAAATTTAATCTTTCACAAATAAAATATCAATTCTAGTAAAATGTTAAAGCTAAAAAAATGCATAAACTTAGATTTAATTTATTGAAAATATAAGTCTTGTAATTTAATAGAATCTAATTTGTATCTCCTAAAATAGAATTTAATTCATTCATGACATTTTAACACTATCATTAAAATCATGGTAGGCTGAGAAGTAATATAATAATATAGTTTAATAGAATCAACAAATACATCCAATTAAAGAAAATAGCATTTTAAATAAATTAATAGAGAAAATATAATAGGCACTGCTTATGCCATTCCCTCCCTGCACACACTGCCCAATCTCCCATCTCTAGAAGAATACATGCTGCCCTAATATCCTGGGAGACTGTCATCTAAAGTGTGGTGGGAAAAAGACTAGTGAGAAAACTAGGAGCAAAATTAGACTGAACATTTGTTGAGAGTCTATTCTGTGCCTGATCCTGGGCTAGATGCAGCACTGGGAAAGCTACTTCACCTCTACTTTCTCATTTGTAAAATGAAAGCTTTGCATTGAATAATCTCACTTTTCAGTTCCCAGGTAACATGGCATAGATGATGCAAACATGTAAGATAAGCTCTTCAATGTTCATGTATTTGTGCTGATAAAAACTAGTCCTGCCTGGATCTTCCTCATCAATCCTCCTACTTTTATAGTATGATATAAGACTTAAAAAAATAACTCGATGATGCCTCAGAACAGGTGGGATTATCTTTAAGAGTCTAGGATGTTCTGGTGTTTAATATGAGTTATGATTATCCCCCAAGAGGGCAAGGAAATTCTGTGGTTCAAAGAAATCCATTAAAAGCAATCAGAACTTCAAAGAGCTTTTTCATATATACTTTACTAAATAGGTTAAGCAGCCTGCTACCACCCTACCTCACGCTGGGTTCTCCGTAGATCTAAGGTAAGCTGGCCTGAGACAAGTTGGGACTGGGATGGGGAAGATACCAAAGAAACACCAGGTGTTTGTAGGCGGCGACACCCGTGATTCAGTGGAGGATGAGTCAGAACTAAACCAACTTTCAGATAGTGGTGGATACAGCACGCAAGCCAGAGGTGGAGAGTTTCTGATGAAACCAAAAATTAGCACTTTCTAAAATCCTGCTTAAAACAATGATTGCACATTTATTTCATCTCATGTAGGGCTGAGTTTCAGTTTATAACAAAGGCAAGCCCCATTGAAAACTGACTATTTAGTGAAAGGGTAAAATGCAAGGAAATTAACTCTCAGTTAATCTCTATAAAAATATATCCTACTAAATTAAAGTACATCTTCTGTATTCTATTTTGACAAAGGATCTTCTACCTTGTTACTCATTTAGCTAGTTCTGAGCACAGAAGTGTAGCAGAAGTATTTGTATTCCCTCTGTGCCTAGGCAATGGTCCTCTTAAAACCACAGTCCATATTCCGACTCCAGTTTGCTTAATGTTTTGCTGGATTTGGAGCATTCATTTAAATCAAATCTCATGACTAATATCCTATTTTAACTGTGCTTATCTTGGTACCTTAAATATAGAAAATGCTGGGAAAGAAAACCTTTTTTAAAATTTAATTTAAAAAGTATTTATTTTTTGAATTGAAACAATTGGTTATACATATTTATGGGTATGCAATTGACTATCAGTATTTGTGTATGGTACATAATGGTCAAATTGATATTATTAGCATGTTCATCCTTGCAAATCATAATTATTCTATATGTTCCTTTCCCAATTACTCTCTAACTCCCTTTCCCCTCCTCTTTTCCCACTCCTAGTAACTATAGGTCTGTTCTCTCCTTCTGAAAGTTCAATGTTTTGTTGTGGCCTTTCTCTCTTTTACTTTCTCTCTTCCTTCCTTCCTTCTTTCCTTCCTTCCTTTTTCTCCTTCCACTTATGAGTGAAGACAAGAGGTATTTCTCTTTCTGTGCTGATACCGACACCTAGTCCTCAGAACTAGAGTAAAGCCACCACATGGTTGGTGGTACACATTACCGTGGTTGGTGGTGCATCTCCATGTCCAACAAAGAAAAATAAAATAGAAAATTTGATCTTGTTGAAGCATAAAGTCTGGTATATAATGGGAGATGCTACTGGAGAGCAAGACAAGGAAGGAATTGTGAAATGCCTTGTCTTCCCTATTAGGAGCTTGGATTTGACTGTAGAGGTGATGAAAAACCACTAAAGAAACGAAGACAAATCATCAGATTTTATTTTAAGAAAATTATTGTGTTAGCTGTAAAAAAGTAGAGGGAAATATAGTAGTTAACAGAATAATTTAGTTTCTCTAAATTTAATTTTATAGTGTCCTGCAGTGAATTCTGTTATCTTTTTGGTTGCTGTGTTGTTAAATATCGCTGAGTATTTTATATAAAAGCAATGCAAGAATTCTATAGCATTTTCTCTATATATTTATACTTTCTAGAATTTTGTTGACTATTGAAAAGCATTGATGGAACAAAATACTTGTAGATATTTCTTTAAAAAATATTTTGCTAAGCTTTTGGGTAATTTGTTTATTCTAAACATTAACACTAAAATAATTTAACAGTAGCCAGTGTATGTGCCTATAAAGTTATTTTTCTTCTTTCTCACTATATGTAATAATTGGGCTACCAAAAAGAAATATCTATTTCTACAATGCTTTAGAATCAATGGTAGGAGGTAATATTCTAGGGTCTATACCAAGGTTGAGCCGAGCATAGTCTTTCCTTCTTATACTTCATGGTACTTTCCCTGGCTGAGGTATCCTAAGAGGAGAGGAGTCTCAGGATGCCCTTGTCAATATTTTTCTGTCTGAGTGGATGGTATAATATTAGAGTTTGCATTCTTTGCCCCACCCTACTGCCAATAAGCTACTATGTCAATCAAATCACAGTTTAATGATACTCCCTGTTCAGAAATAATAAAGAATAAGAGAATTCCTCATTCCTTGCTGGTATCCTTCTGTTGCCACCCAACAGAGCCATCCCCTCCGTTTAGACAGTTGCTTGGTAAATGCAGTAAAGATCATACAAATGTTATCAATCCACAGGAGAGACCTTTTTTTTTTTTTTTTCAATTTCTGTGCCTTTAAACGTTCAAGGGCTGAGCAAAAAATACTTTCTGTATAACACCAACTAAAGTCAACAGCTGTTATATGAAACAAATTCATACAAAATTGAAAATTCAGCTGAAGCTACAAATGAGCTCTAACCAGGGTGCTGAACAGTCAGCAGTGATCACTGAAGTTGTTCAAAGGAATTAGGAAAAGAAACCCCAAACCTTAATCATATATGATTTTAAAATATTTATCCATTTCACAGTTGTCTTTCCTTTGCCATTGTTTTTGTGTTTTTAACAGATAAAGACACACTGTGTCATATCAAGCAGATCTTCACACATCCACACTTGGAGCTAAATCCTGAATTTAATCCAAAGATCAAAGACTATTACTCTGAAGTCCCATTTGATGTGGTAACAGTGACAATTGGAGTGGAGACTTCTAAGTGTCAGTGCAAGGTGCATCTGCATGAGCAGGCAGGGCCAAGGTATGGAGCTGCTGACCTGGGCTGAGCTGAGATATCACACGGGGAAAGCAGATATTTGATGCAACCTTTGAAAGTGGTTCAGGAAAGCTGATTCACAAGATCAGTGAAGAGATTGCCAGGGCGTGAAATCCTTCCTCTTTTCAGATGTTACCTGTTTTAAAAGAACACATTGGTGCTCTACTGATCTATTAGTGATCTTTGTAACTAATCTTGTAGCAATGTTGTAACATGAGGGGATTTTGTTATACAAAATATTGAGGACCCATTAAAGAAAAATTTTGTTTATTGTTGTCTTCCTGTTTTTAGACTATAAAGAGTTAATTCTTCAGAACAGTAACCTCTTTCTACTTCAACCCAGCTCCTCAAGTTTTTGAATATTTAGGGATTGATTGCTTAAACACATTGGTGACAATTTGTAGACATAGTACCACTAACTTTCCTGTCACTGGGATTTATTTCTATTGACTCTTTTGAAAGTCGCCTACTCTATTGTTTGTAATTTTGAACAGAAGGTAGAACCTTATTACATGCCATGTCCAAAGCAAAGAAGCTAACACATGGTTAAATGCTATAGGGAAAGAAATGCACTTGACATCCCTGGAAGTCAAGAGAGTCTAACAGAAAGAAAAGAGGATTCAAATCAGACCAACCTGGGTACCAATCCTGACCCTACCACGTGACTTTGGGCAATTTGTTTACCTGTTCTATGTCATGGTCTCCATGTTTAAAATGGGGGCAATCATAGTTTTTGTATAGAGTTATTGTATTAAATGAGATAATGTATGACCCGGACAGGTGGTTAATAAATATTAGTTTCTATCCCTTTAGTTAATGGAGGACATGACTTGCTCTGCAAAATGACTCTTGGCATAGCCAAGTATTTGTGAAATAGAGGTTTAATATTTTATTTTTATATTTTAGGTTCCTTAGGAAATTGTACAAACATTAGCTGTTTTTTATTCACGTAGTAAGCATTTAATAAATACTGATGTATGAATCAGTTTGGGCTAAATAAATGTCCCACATTCATACTCTCTCTCTCTCTCTCTCTCTCTCTCTCTCTCTCTCTCTCTCTCTCTCTCTCTGTCTCGTCTCTCCAGCTTTGCTAACTACTCTCTGGGTTTAGGAATGAACAAGATTGCAATATTTGTGGTGGATGAATCTCCAGTACAGGGTGAGACTCTGATCACCTACAAACTCACCATTTATAGAGAAGACCGCCCAAGTCTACCCTTGTTTGAGGACTTCACAGCATGTGGTTTTGTGCAGGTAAGTGGTAATAATCTACAACTCAGATGGAAAATGCGAAATGAAAATTGTTACAAGAAACTGTGTGCTTTTAAATCTAAACCGTGGTCTTATTTCAAATGAGAAAGAGTCCCAGCCAGATATCTAAGGCACTTCATCGTGAGTAGTGTTCTTTTTAGCATGGTAGCCCAGCAGTCATTGCGTTCAGTGGATTTATTGTGGTTAATATTAAAAAAAAAAGTCTGAGTACACACTTAGTGGTGAAATTGCTTTCACACTTCCCCTTTAAATTGTGCTGTTTTTCTTGGATTCATCCCTGGATCTACTTTTGATATTTTAAACTAGATTCAGTGGTATTTATTTTAAAGAATAAGAGGAAAATTTATAAAACTATTTTATGGAAGAGTTATTGGATAAATTAAATTAAATTTGCTTGTGATAGATAAATTTCTCATCCATCTCTCATGCCTTAATTATTCATCAAGGCTGTAGTTTCTCTTATGAACAAAACATACCTTCTTTAGCCTGGTGGATTTTGAAGGAGGGTGAACATTACCCCTAAACTTTGTCTTGTTTGGTGGTTCTCTCCTCTGTTTTTGCCCTTTTAGGATTCTATGTAACTTTCTATATTTCCTCACATCATATCCCTTCAATACAGGTGATTCCAGAAAAAGTAGTAATTGGTATTCTTATCATATATCTGTTAGCCCTCTCAGAAAGTATACTTGCAACTATGCCATGTTAAAGGGATTTCTGTGCTACTAGGAGCTTTAAAGTACAGAGGGTTAGTAAAAGAGAGAAATAGCTGATGGAGCCTCAGTGAGTAGTATGAATACCATGTTTTTAAAAAATTAATGGCCAAATGCAGTAATCCCCCTCCCCCACCACTATCTCAACTATTCCCAGGAGCCTAATACTATTTCATAAGGGTACCAGTTCATGAGATTTTTATTTTTTAAAGAGCACATATCTCTAATTTATGAATTACCACTGAGTCAAAGGGAATTTCACATTGGTCTAAAGATTGGTCTAAAGTAAGACTAAAATATTATTCTGAAAGATATTAATGAGTGGACTTAAAAAAATGGTAGAGTAGAATAAGGTTACATGGTCAAATAGGTTTATGAAGTAGTGAATTAAACAAAGTTATGTAGATTTCTTTACTGTAGGATTTCTCTGAACCTTTAATATACTCATGTAAATGGGGTCCTTCAAAACAAGAATACATGATGTGCTGCACTTCCAAACTTATTTGATGTTGTTTTAATGGAATAGCCATTGATATTTACTTTGTGGAACACAGTTGAGAAAACACTGGGCCAGATTATGGAGAAGATTCATAAGTACATTCCTCTCAGGTGAAAAAGACTTCAAAATATGTTCCTCTCAGTTTTCCACTTTTCAATTTGTTTATATGAGTTGCTATATCTCAGTCTTTTTCTGAACTTGGAAACTAATAATAAAGCCATGCCAAAAATGTTTTAAAAAATGAAGAAAAACCTATAAGGAGGTGTGTTTTTGTAAGTATGTATGTATCTTTTTGTATATATAATTATTTCCAAACTAAGTATTCTCACCTTTTTTGTGGAGCAATTTTTCTTTTGTATACTGCTAATGGGAGTGTAAAATGTTTGACTACTTTGGAAAACTTTGGCAGTATCTATTAAAGCTAAACATATATGTATCCTATGACTCAGCAGTCCTTCTAGCTATATACCCAAAACAAATGAAGTCCCATGTCCATAAAAAGAGTATACAAAAAAACTTCATATCAGTTTTAATAGCTAAAAGTTCAAAATAATTCAATAAGAAAGAAGATAAATCTAATGCAATACTATCGAGATATTTAAAAATAAATGAATTATTGATACACACAAACATGGAAGAATGTCCAAAACTTTATATTGATAAAAAGATGATAGACATAAAAAGATATACTGTATTTCTTTTTTTTTTTTTTTTGTCTTTTGTCTTTTTTCCATGTCTGGCAACGGATCACAACCCTCAGTGTTGCCCCCGTACCGGACCGGGGACCGGCAACGGGATCGCAACCCTCGGTGTTGCTCCTGCTCCTCGCTCAGCCAGTGAGCGGAAACCGGTCTGTATGTGGGATCCGAACCCTCGGGCGGGAGCGCCGCCGCGCTTCCCAAGCGGCGCACTATCCAGCGCGCCACCGGGCCGGCCCTGTATTTCTTTTATATGAAGTTCAAGAACAGGCAAAACTAATCTATGGTGGTAGAAATAAGAATAGTGGTAACCTAGAAGGTGTGGGTACTTCTAAACATAAGGGAACTTCTTGGGTAAATGTCCCATGTCTTGATTTGAGTGGTAGTTACACATATAACCAGGTGATGTATACATATATACAAAAATGTAATTAACTGTGCACTTAAGATTTGTGCTATTTACTGTACATACATTATGTAATATATAAAATATTCATGTGTATTTAGATATATGTAAATTATATACACTGTATATAAATCATACCTCAATAAAGTAAGAAAAGAGCATTAGTGGGAAAGTATGTATTGTTATCTTCCAAGACATGCTTCCCTTCTCAAATATTGTATTGATCAGAAACAAGTTAATTACCATGCAATGACTTTAACACATTGATTATGTTAGGAATTTGTTACTATAATATATACAAAGAAAAATATTAGAAAATTCTTGTGGGATGAATCTTACAGATGATTACAGGAAAGTATTTCAGTCAGTTATAAGAATGTTTTCCAGAAGGTCTTCATTTAAAGTTTATGTGTGGTCCCACTATAAGTATTGTATTTTATGACATGCAAAAGTATCTAATAAGCACTAGTATTTTTAAGTCTTTCTTTTAGAAACTGTCAGATGAACAAACAGGTAAATGTGGCACGAATAATGTGGATTGCTGTAGACACTTAACTAGGCACAAGTGGCCTCATGAGCTGAGAGAAGTGAACAGCAGAGGTGGAATATTCTCACCATCAGCTCCAGTTAAAATTTGAATCCAGAGACCTTTTCCTTATTTCTCTTTAATGTTTAATCTCATTAGCATCTTTAGATTTCACTGCAAGTTGATACCATGATGAAGATTACAGTACAAAGAAAGAGTGATAAAATTTCTAATCTCCTGTCAATTCTCAGGTATTTGAGAATTTTCAAATTAAGTTAATAGCTAAGCAGATATACATAATGAGACTTACAAACTTTTGGTTTTCTAAACTTTTCTTTTTCTATTCTGTCAACAACCATAGTGCCATCACTATATTCTTAGGGATAAAGGGCAGAGTTGAACTATTGCAGGTTAAATGATAGGGTGCTCTTTCTGCAAAGCCTGTACATACAAACCTAAAAGGAAATGAATTAAACTTCAATTATATTTTACTTATTGCTTCATGGAAAAAATTTTCTCCTTACATTTTAAGTTAGATTTTTGCCCAATGATCTTTATTGTTAAATTCTAAACAAACATTGTCTTACTTCATTGTGCTGCTATAACAAAATACATGAGACTCGGTGGTTCATAAAGAACAGAAATGAAATTCTTACAGTTCTGGAGGCTGGGAAGTCCATGATCTAAGTGCTGACATGTTGTCTAGTGAGGGCCTTCTTGCTGTGTCCTCACATGATAGAAGGGACAAAAACAGTAAAAGGGGCAAATGCTGCATCCTCACATGGGGGTAGAGCTGAAGAGTAAAAAAGAGCTAGTTTTCTCCTGCCCTTTTATAAGGCACTAATTCATTCACGAATATGGAGCCCTCATGACTTAATCACATCCCCAAAGGCCCCACTTCTTAATACCATCACAATGGGGGCTAAGTTCAATTTTGAGAGACATTCAGACCATAGCAAACATAAAAGGTAATACACCTTCAAATAATCAACAAAGAAAAATCCAATTTATGTTTAATCAAGGCTCCTAATTTCTCCTTCCCCCACTCACTTACCTTCTAGACATCAACTATTCATTTAACCATTTCACCAAAAAACTAACAGAGGAGAGAAGCAAATATAAGGCATACGGATCAATTAAATAATCAATTTCTGTGACATTTGGGGGAGTAATAAGATAAGTTATTAATTTGTTAATAGTGATTTTGTGTGATTTGTATTATCAAACATTGTTAAGTACCTACTTAGTCAAAATGAACTATTTGAGTATATTTAATGTCTATAGTCCAATTATTATTATGTCAATTGAAATTTGTATATGATTGCCACATAGGCAACTCTTATTTTAGCTATTCCCAGTGAGGGAGAAAGAACTAATTTACATGACTGATGTAAAACAACTACATTGGGACCAGGGTGTCTCAACCTAAGTACTGTTGACATTGGGAGCTGGATAATTCTTTGTTTTGGGAAGCTATACTGTGCATTGCAAGATGTTTAGCAGAATCCCTGCCTTCTACCCACTAGATACCTCATCAAGTTGTGACAACCAAAAATGTCTACAGACATTGCCAAATGCCCCCTAAGGGGCAACATTGACCCCACTTGAGACCACTGTTTTAGAAATAAGAATCCCTGCTTTTCTTCTCTTTTGGCTATTTAGTAGAAATGTGAATAATTTAGAGGTGATCATTCACTGCTGTATGTTGGAGAACCATTGTTATCTTCTTTTTCCTTGTATTTTTAATCATTTCTGTATTCAGTGATACTATTTTGACAGCTCTTTATTCTACTCATTAAACTGCCATCTTTTCTGTCTAATGTAATTATTATAATCAGAAATATGCATTCAGTTATAGAAAACATGATTCATAATGAAACATAAAAACATCATATAACATGGTTAGACTGTTATTTCATTTTGATTTACTCATAAATAGTGTAATGTTTTGCTGTTAGGAAGAAGGATTTAGAAAGTAATAAACTCTTATTGTGGCTGGAATATGTCATGTTTAGGAATTAATAAAATATATTTACGTTCTAAGGAAATGAAAATATATAGAGAGAAATATTTCTTTTAATACTCCTTTTCAAATCAAAATTTTTTACATAGATAACAATATAACATCCACAGAAGTTGATTT